ACTGAAATTAATCTACCATCCGATCAAAACATTTCCTCATTTTAATCAGAAAATCGTCAAAATACATGTACATCTCATCATTTTCATTGTTGAATTTCAACATTAATTTAGCACAACGCAGTTAGACTACCGATATAAGGGCAAGACATATTGTGCAACTACATGCCTTTTGGATGATTTCTTTTAGATCTTAAATTGGAATATAGGGTGCTCTTTGCATGTGTTCTTTTTCCTTCCATTGGTTTCTTCCTTGCATTGTTTCTTTGAATGGTTGGTTTGGCACGTCGGTCAATTAATTTTCGTCAACATTCATGTAGGTGTGTGATTTTTTACTCGTCGATTTCATCACACACGTCATTTCCGCGGCATGCATGCAGACACATAGCTGTTTCAGGGCATAAATCAGAGACCAGTCCCAAGCACTACGCCTATGTCGAAGAGTCCGAAAACGAAAAGTGAGTCTGTGCCTGTCAGATAAATGTGCAACGAATGGTACCAATACCAATGTAGCTAGTACTAGCAGTCACGGCAGTACGCTTAGCCTTAGACCTCCGTACAGTCCGGTCTGTGCTAGTCCAGGACCTAGTTCCTCTTAGGACCTGGTTCCGTCTCATCAGTCGCCACAGAGTCAGACCAGTAAACTTTATGTTGACAAAAGCGTAAAGCATCCGTACAATTTTCATAATTCAAATTGTACGGTCAACATTAATAACTAACTATAATCCTATCAAACTGGACTAGACTAATATACGTTCTCCCGTTTTCTGTGTTAGCAATCGTTTTTAACGTTTTTCAAGTTTTGAATTTGAAGTTTGAACATTTACTGAGTTTAAATTTCTAGTGTGTAATAGGATTGGCCTCGAACTTAAAGTCAAAGAGGTAAGTCAAATTGAGTTCAGCATGTTGAATTAATGTAGGCCTAGATCTAGATCTACATGACACGAGCTATTACTTTGACTTTTATTGACATTTTCTTCCTGGAAAATTGCAAAAACGGACTGTGTACTTGTGTATACTGAAACTGTGAGAGGCGGGAAAGTAATGACAGAGAGAAAAGGATTACAGTACAAGAGTAAACACAGCGAATAAGTGAGGGAAAGATAGAGAGAAAATGATAGAATAGTGAAAACTAGGAACGATATAAGAGAAGGTGGTAGGAGGAGGAAACGAAAGATAACATAATGAAAGACAGAAAGATAAAGTGATAGAATGATACAAACAAAGAATAACATAAGAGAAGGTGATAGAAGGAAGAAACGAAGGACAGCGTAAGCAAAGATAGGAAGAGAAAGTAATAGAATAATGCAAACAATGAATAACATAAGAGAAGGTGACGGAAGGAAAAAACAAAGAATAACATAAGGAATAGTGGGAAAAATGGTAGATCGATAAAAACAAAGAATAACATAAGAAAATGTGATAGAAGGAAGAAACAAAGAAAAACATAAGGGAAGACTGACAGAGAAAAACGATAGAATGATAAAAACAAAGAATAACATAAGAAAAATGTGAAAGAAGGAAAAAACAGAGAATAACATGAAGAAAGATAAAACGAAAAAATTATAGAATTATATCAACAAACAGGAACATAAGAGATGATAGAATAAAAAAAAAGAATAACATAAGGAGAGACAGAAAGAGAAAATGATAAAGAATAGGTAATGGAAAGATAGAAAAGAAGATGAAACATGGAAAAACGAAGAATAACATAAAGAAAGACAGAAGGAGAAAGAAATATAAGGAGAAAGAGAAATAATAACGTAAGAAAAGGTGATAGAAGGAAGAAACAAAGAATAACGTGAAGATAGATAGAAAGAGAAAATGATAGAATGATAACAACAAACAACATCATAGATGGTAGAAGGAAGAAAAAGGATTACATGAGGAAAGACAGAATGAGAAAATGAAAAATAATAGATAATGGACAGATAGAAGAGAAGATGAACGATGGAAATACAAAAAACAAGACGGAAGATAAAAAGAAACAATGATATAATAATAAACAAAGAATGACGTAAGAAGTGAAAGAAGGAAAAACAAAGAGTAACGAAAAGAAAGACAGAAAGAGAAAGAATAGAATGATAAAAACAAAGAATAACATAAGAGAAGGTGATAGACGGAAGAAACAAAAGATAGCGTAAGCAAAGATAGGAAAAGGAAATAATAGAATAATATAAACAATGAATAACATAGGGGAAGGCGACGGAAGGACAAAAGCAAAAATAACTTAATGAACGGTGGGAAGAAAATGATAGATCGATAAAAACAAAGAATAACACAAGAGAAGGTGATAGAAAGAAGAAACAATGAAAAACATAAGGAAAGACAGAAAGAGATATAATAGAATGATAAAAACAAAGAATAACAAAAGAAAAATGTGATAGAAGGAAGAATCAGAAAATAACAAGAAAAAAGATAAAAATTAAAAAAATGATAGAATGATATTAACAAAAATAACATAAGAGATTATAAAAGAAAAAAAGAATAAAATAAGGAAAGACAGAAAGAGAAAATGATAAAGAATAGGTAATGGAAAGATAGAAAAGAAGATGAAACATGGAAAAACGAAGAATAACATAAAGAAAGACAGAAGGAGAAAGAAATATAAGGAGAAAGAGAAATAATAACGTAAGAAAAGGTGATAGAAGGAAGAAACAAAGAATAACGTGAAGATAGATAGAAAGAGAAAATGATAGAATGATAACAACAAACAACATCATAGATGGTAGAAGGAAGAAAAAGGATTACATGAGGAAAGACAGAATGAGAAAATGAAAAATAATAGATAATGGACAGATAGAGGAGAAGATGAACGATGGAAATAAAAAAAACAAGACGGAAGATAAAAAGAAACAATGATATAATAATAAACAAAGAATGACGTAAGAAGTGAAAGAAGGAAAAACAAAGAGTAACGAAAAGAAAGACAGAAAGAGAAAGAATAGAATGATAAAAACAAAGAATAACATAAGAGAAGGTGATAGACGGAAGAAACAAAAGATAGCGTAAGCAAAGATAGGAAAAGGAAATAATAGAATAATATAAACAATGAATAACATAGGGGAAGGCGACGGAAGGACAAAAGCAAAAATAACTTAATGAACGGTGGGAAGAAAATGATAGATCGATAAAAACAAAGAATAACACAAGAGAAGGTGATAGAAAGAAGAAACAATGAAAAACATAAGGAAAGACAGAAAGAGATATAATAGAATGATAAAAACAAAGAATAACAAAAGAAAAATGTGATAGAAGGAAGAATCAGAAAATAACAAGAAAAAAGATAAAAATTAAAAAAATGATAGAATGATATTAACAAAAATAACATAAGAGATTATAAAAGAAAAAAAGAATGAAATAAGGAAAGACAGAAAGAGAAAATGATAAAGAATAGGTAATGGAAAGATAGAAAAGAAGATGAAACATGGAAAAACGAAGAATAACATAGGTAAAGACAGAAACAGAAAGTTGTATAATGATAAAAACAAAGAATAACGTAAAAAGGTGATAGAAGGAAGAAACAAAGAGTAACATGAAGAAAGATAGAAAAAGAATTATAGAATGTTAACAACAAACAACATAAGAGATGATATATAGGAAGAAACGAAGGATAGCGTAAACAAAGATAGGAAGAGAAAGTAATAAAATAAAACAAACAATGAATAACATAAGTGAAGGTGATGGAAGGAAAAAAACAAGAATAACATGAGGAAAGACAAAAAGAGAAAGTGATAGAAGAGAAAGTGATAGAAGGAAAAAACAAGAATAACATAAAGAAAGACAGAAAGAGAAAGTGATAGAATGATAATAACATAAGAGAAAGTGATAGAAGAAAAAACAGAAAAACAGAAGGGAAGACAAAAAGAAATATGATAGAATGATAAAAAAAAGAATAACATCAGACAAATGTGATAGAAGGAAGAAACAGAGAATAACATGAAGAAAGATAACCAGAAAAAATGATAGAAGGATATTAACAAACAATAATATAAGAGATGAAAGAAGAAAAAAAAAGAATGACATAAGGAAAGACAGAAAGAGAAAAGGATAAAGAATAGCTAATGGTAAGATAGAAAAAAAGATGAAAGATGGAAAAACGAAGAATAACATATTAAAGGAAAGATATGGAAAGAGAAAGTGATATTATGATAAAAATAAAGAATAACGTAAAAAGGTGATAGAAGGAAGAAACAAAGAATAAAATGAAGAAAGATGGAAAGAGAAAATGATAGAATGTTAACAACAAACAACATAGGAGAAGATAGAAGGAAAAAAAAGAAAGAGAAAATGATAAAGAATAGATATTGGAAAGATAGAAGAGAAGATGAAAGATGGAAAAACTAAGGATAAAATAAGAAAAACAGAAAGAGAAAATGATAGAAGAAAAACAAAGAATGACACGATAGAAGATAAAAAGAAAAAAATGATAATAAACGAAGAATGACGTAAGAAGTGAAATAAGAAAAAAAAGGAGTAACAAAAGGAAAAGAGAAAATGATAGAATGATAAAAACAAAGAATAATATAGAGAAGGTGATATAAGCAAGAAACGAAGGAAAGCGTTAGGATAGATAGGAAGAGAAAATAATAGAATAATAAAAACAAAGAATAACATAAGAGAAAGGAAATACAAAGAATGAAAAAATAGAATGGTAGGAAGTGAGGAAATGATCAATGATCTCTGACCAAGTTCTCCGTTTGTTGCATATTCCAAAGTCTAATATCATCAATAGACACCGTCGATTCGTGATCCATATTTTCACAATTTCAGCGCAAAAAAATGAAAACAATACTTGAATCTCGAGCAAATATACAGCAACCGTCAAACAAAGCGATATCCATAGAAATTACACATGTTTTATACGCATCGCTTACGTTAGAACTTCCTCGCACGCAGTGCGCCCGGTTGTCAAGTCTCATGAGTGTAGTAAGTCGAATAACTAATGATGTTAAACAATGAATTATCAATAAAGTTTGAATATATTCATAAATTACACTAACCTTTGGACCGCGTTGAAGTGCAATAGTAGACAGATGGTCACATCTACAGGTCACGTGGGTATAGTTCGAATATACAGCCTTGCATCCCTCTGTCGTCCAATCCCAACCACTGCAAAGTTAAAAACACGTGATGTAAATGAAATATATTTTCATGAATCAAGAATCAAACAACCAACGAACCGATCAACTAACCGACACCTCAAATCAAACTAGAGAAAAAACAGAGAAATACACTTATTATAATATTACACGTCTGTTGTTGGTTTGTTGTCGTTGTCGATGTGACTAGGGAAATAAAGAGTTTAGAATAGATATATTACTCGTATCGATCTTTACAGTGTGTTTTAGTGATAGGTATGATAGGGGTTAAAAGAAATAAGTCACTTATCACTTGATCATTATTAACTTATTTACTTACTTCTCATCTTGCTTCATCGAAGTACAGACTGGAATTTCATTATCGAAGTCCTGTAGAATGAAATATAATGAGAAAGAGACAAAAAGATGCAGAAAATGGGTGAAAATATGAAAATATGCAACCATAGCTACCAGTGGGGTAGCTCCACGAGAATGGGGATTGAATAGCGGGAAAATCAATAAAGAGAGATTAAGAGAGAGAGAGAGAGAGAGAGAAAAATAAAAGGATAAAGAAAGAGAGAAAATGCGAAGGAGAAATAGAAAGAGAGGGAGAGAACGAGAAAGAGAGAGAGAAAGAGAGAACGAGAAAGAGAGAGAGAACGAGAGAGAGAGAAAGGGAAAGGGGGAAAGGGAAAAAAGGAGAGGAAAACAATAGTGAAGGAAAGATGATCGGACCACCATTCAGATCCTCTCCCTGATCAATAGACTTGGTAAATCACGTTTTATCCACCCAGTAAGAAGGCCGCCCCTACACCCCCGACGCAAGTGCGCCCTCAATAACTATACACACGCTACGCCTCTGGTGGCCATAGCCTACATACAATTTTGACGGGAAAGATGACGTCCACATATTCCCCTTCGCGGAGATACAAGGGGGCGCCGTTGTAGCAGTAAACAGTCACGTTGACCACGGAGTTCAGCGACAATGACGATCCGGCTGCTGCGTTCTCGGGCGTTGACCCGGAGTTGTTCGATGGCTTAGACGGGCTCGTGTCACAGTCCTCTTTGGGATCCTGAAAAGCCTCGATTGCAACCTTCACTAGAAATAGATCGGAAGGAAAAGAGATTCTTACGCGATGGCAAAGACTGTAAAGCAATAAACTTGGTTTTCATTTCAATACCCTACTGTCATGGCTGCAGATATAGAGACCATTTTATCTGCCATGAACTTTGCACCATTCAATAAGTCATGCACATTATTATTTTGTATAAATGCGGTCATACAATTACTTTGATTTGTTCTCTCTCGCTGTGTCTGCTTAAAGAGTAGTTACCCTACAGAGCTTTAATACGGCACATAAAAAAGAAGGTTTGTAGGCCTTTAGTTAGATAGCAGTATAATCAACGGCAGCTTTCCTACCATTAGGCAAATAATTGGGGTATTTGTTTCAAGAAGTCACGAAACCATGACCATCATACATATTTGATATGAAGTAACCATGGTAACCATCAACATTGGGGAATATATATCGAGAAGTCATGAAACCATGACCATCATGCATAATTGATGTGGAGCTAGAGGAACCATGGTAACCATCAAACTCGCTTTCACACAGCGTCAACTGTCTGTGCTTCGACTTCATGGAACATTGCCTTGGCAGGTCACACATATCGCCGATAACAATAGCTATAAATGTAACTATTGAACAGTTCTCCTGACGTTTAAGTGGACAAAAACACAAAGGGGTGGGGGGGGGGGGGAGAGAGAGAAAGAGGAGGGGAAAGAGAAAATCAAGAAGAAACTAGACTTGAATTCGTCACGAAGACGAATAAGGTGGTCTGTCTAAGTCTTATGATAGATTTGAGAATGGGAGAAGTTATATAGACATGTAAACAATGATGATGATGATGATGATGATCTTGATAGTAATGGTGATGACGATGATGACGATGATAATGATAATGTTGATGATGACGATGATGATGTTGATGATTATGATCATGATCATGATGATCATGATCATGATCGTGAGCATGATCCTGACATCTGATTGAAAAAATGAGGGAGATTTAGATAGCATATAGTCTCAGCTACATTATACTCAAAAATCAATAAAAAACAAGCAAAAATAACGGCGATATTGCTCGCAAAAGACAGGAATGTAGAATCCAGATTTGAGAAAAAGTCATGTCCAATAGAGAATACACGCAAAATGTGAAAAATTGACATGCCTCCTTTAATCGCAAAAATACGCCATGATGCTTTTGTCAAAATGAAAAATCGTGGCGACGGCATTTGTTGAAAATTGTCTCAGTCGGCTAAAACATATCAAAATTTGGAAGAAAATTGATCAACATTTACAGAGATACACTGCAAACAGTATGCCTAGGGTGTGATTGTTACGTCACAATGATGGAGTTCGGTCATAGTGCGCATTTTGTTATATGCGTAATATACATTGTCATGGTCACCAGCAGCTGGTGCGCGATGAAATGTACAACTGGCTCGATTATTGCTCACTACTTTCCCACGCATTTTGCCGTTGACTTTTCAGATCGAGCAATAATATTTATAATGTATTTCGTATAGGCGTGTTTTTGCCCATATGCTATATATTAAAAGAGCTCGCACGCAATAATGCAAGGCCGTCCAGAGGATTTTTTTATGTTGGAAACCGGGGTAAAATGCAATAAATTATTGAAAATTTATTGCATTTTCTGTTTTTTTTTTTAATTCATGGAAACTGCCCCCTACCCTAGCCCCCGCTGCGTACAGTCATGGTTCAGTGACAAAGCAATGGCCTCGTAACTGTGAGGCCCCAGGATCAAAACCGTGTCGATGTGCTATAAGGGCCCTTTTGTGGGGCATTAATCCTCATTACTGTCATTTATGACTTAAGGGCATAGGTCCCCTAGTTGATAAGCATAGGAGCATATACATGATTTAGCAGTCACGCAAAACACACATTGGCAAATCATTGTTCAATAAAATCTGAGAATTATACTATTATTTATCTAGATCTAGTATTTTTAAATTATTTTTAAAATAATTCCATAAATTCCGGATAAAAAAAAAATATTCCACCTTTATGAGCGACAGTGTAGGAGGCTGCCCCCAAAAAAGAAGTGGGCGGGGACGCTAAACATGTATATTCTTTTTACATGGCCTAAACGACAAGGTATCAGATATCCATTGTTTTGACATTCCTTTTCCCTTAGATATAAACACGCAAAATCATGCATTTCGTGAGAAATTATATGCGCGAGAAATATACTGGGCGAATTGTCTGTAGGGCGAATTTAATCTGACCAAGATTTTGGCCGATTCGAATTGCATGCACACTCGTACTCATGGTCATATGAGTATCCGAGTACTGCTGTTTTGTGCTGTTGTGCTGATTGCTAGCTTAGCTTTGGTAAGAAATCGGTTGTTGCTATTGTATTACTTTATCGTGAATCCTTTCTTATTAGTTTGTTGGAGATTTTGCGTTATCGCATAAGTGTGTGAGTGTATTAAACTTTTAAAGGCATTGACTTTGTTTATATCTATAATAATGTTTGCAGTTACAAATCAAGTCTGAGATGCGATACATCTTACGTATACATGTATAGCCTAGGGTCTACGTGTAATATCATCAGCTCAGCGAGTGTGATTGTGATTGAATTTTGAAGCCCTACGAAAAACAAAAAGGAAGTGTTTCAAAAAAGTGAAAATCTTTGACTCAGTTTGACTTTGAGTGACCGGTTTTACCATACTCATTTCCCCCAATAGACCGTAGACCTAGTCTAGATCTAGTTCTAGATCTAGGTCAGTGTTGTTATAAATTAAAAACCGTAAGTCCGTAGGGATCTAGGCCTAGTACTATACTACTACTAGATCTAGATACTAGATCTATCTGACTATAGGCCTAGATTAGGGAGGCCAATGCCCGGGCGTAAGGCTTCTACGCCTACGATTTGTGCGCTCGTCGTCCAACTCCAAGTCAGAAAATTACCAGAAGAAAAAAAAAGGGGAAAAAAAAGAAAACAAATATCTAGGGTCTATGGAATAAAATGTATAACAAATACACAATTAAACACTCCACAACATACCTATAATCACGGATCTGTAACGATCTTTCACCATTTATTGACGATCTTGCAGATTTTGACGTATTTTGATCCAATAATTGGGCTAGCAGACGAAAAAAACGGACGCACAAGAGAAACTAGAGGGTGATGAGGTTAGCTCACTAAAATCCTTCTCAATGACTGAAGGTAGATCCTAAAAATATGGAACCAATTTAATATCAAAGAACTTTTGAAAGAGATTAACATATCAGATGTGCACAAATGTCACTTTTAACAACTAGAAAATATAACGAAAAAAGATTATATCTTTTTAATTGCAGATTTTTACAAACTGCACATTCGAAGGTAGATAGAGTACGATGTTTTTGTCAATCTTGCGTTGGTTTGAGCCCCATACTAGCTAGAGCCATCTCAAATTGAGAAGGAAAATTGTGAACAGAGACCTCATTGTTTGAGCCCCAAATAGAAGTCTTGCGACATCATAATATGAATATTTATGAGCTCCGGTCTCATCGCGCGCAAAACAAATTTGACGTAGTCTCACACATAGTACCTTTTTCTCAGCACTAGACACCAGTGTCGTGCAGTAATGTATGAGAAGTGTAAAAAAAGACATTTCAGTAAAAAAAAAAAAAGTCTACGTGAGCAGTCTATACTCCAATTGAGAAGTGTAATGAATGCCATGATTTGAGCGTGTGTGTTTTAGTGTATGATATCATCATATGGTTAGTGAGAGAGAGAGAGAGAGAGGGAGAGAAATATCTCCGTAAGTAGTACACGTCTATCAATGCGTGCAGTCATATTTGATTCCGTATTGTGATCGCTGCATGCAAGTGCAAGTTGGATTTATCGATCGATGATAATGCAGTGTCAGATCTTTACTGATGTCTGAGGAAATAGTAATTGGAATACATCACAAAACTAAGGTAGGCCTATTTATTTATTTAATTTTTAATTACTTTCTTAATTTACAATGAGTGGCTTTCGAGCTTTCTCTCCATTATGTTTTGACCCTCCATGCCATGGCTAGCATGGTCGATCGCGGCTTGCATGCAATTACCGTACCTGGCCTGCAGTACTGTGTCGGTGTGTGCGACTAATTCAAGGCTAGCCGGTGATGATGAATGTACTTTCGCGCGAAGTTTTGAACTTGTTGTCCGGGCAATGACCATGATGACACGCCCATTCCCTCGGGCCTGTCTAATTCTCAACGTAATTGAAATTGATTGTTTCAAGGCTCTTACGTACGGCCAGGCGTAGAAGGAACCTCATAGGAACTAGCTGGATATCTCCTATTTTATGGAACTTCTGGAGTCGGCAGATGGGTGAGTTTTCTTAGTGAAAGAAAATGCTTTCTTTTAATGTTTGTTTTATTATAAACAAATTAGTAATTAAAAAGTTAGATTTGGGCATTGGCCTCCCTACCTAGATCATAGATCTAGACTAGACCTAGATCTAGTCTAGATCTATTAATTTCTAATTCCAATCATAAATATCTTGATAGTTGATAATTAGACAGGTCACAGCTGACAGGCGATCGGCTTGTAAAAGTCATGGGATAATAATTATCGCCTCGCCAAAGAAGGAGGGGATCTAGACCCCTGTATTAATATGCTGCTCGATGCCCTTCCTTCTTTGTGCCGTAACAAATCTGGTTTAAAATAAATAACTTTAGTAATGTTTGACGGATTTTAATGAAATTTGATATGAAGGTAAATGGTAGATCTATAAAAACACAGCATAAGGTCAATTTCGGAGTTTGTAGGTCAAAGGTCATGGCTCATTAAATATGCGAATCTGGTTTCTATTCGATAACTTTAGTAATGTTTGACGGATTTTAATGAAATTTGATAGGAAGGTACATGGTTTAAAAACATAGCATAAGTTCAATTTTGGAGTATGTAGGTCAAAGGTCATAGCTCATTAAATATGCGAATCTGGTTTCTGTTTGATAACTTTAGTATTATTTGATGGATTTTCATGAAATTCGATATGAAGGTACATAGTATAAAAACACAGCATAAGTTCAATTTCCGAGTATGTAGGTCAAAGGTCATAGCTCATTAAATATGCGAATCTGGTTTAAAATCAATAACTTTAGTAATGTTTGACCAATTTTAATGAAATTTGATATGAAGGTAAATGGTATAAAAACACAGCATAAATTCAATTTCGGAGTATGTAGGTCAAAGGTCATGGCTCATTAAATATGCGAATCTGGTTTCCGATCGATAACTTTAGTAATGTTTGACAGATTTTAATCAAATTTGATATGAAGGTACATGCTATCAAAATACAGCATAAGTTCAGTTTCGGAGTATGTAGGTCAAAGGTCATAGCTCATTAAATGTGCAAATCTGGTTTCTATTCGATAACTTTAGTAATGTTTGACGGATTTTAATGAAATTTGATAGGAAGGTACATGGTATAAAAGGCAAGTTCAGACTAGTCTCGGAAAAATGCGCAGTGCTCGTCGTTAGCTGTAATGCGTATCAGAACAAACCCAAACAAAGACGTGATCGTAACGAGAAAAAAATCATTAAAAACTACGAGAGCACAATTGGAAAGACAACTACTCAAAATTATCGTAAGCAGATAC